CTGATCTAGCTGTAGCCTTTCCATTCTTTCTAATAAATCTTACTTGAGTGTTGACCTTGTCATCTCGTGAAGTCAGTTTGCTGCCTCACTGGCCAATTCTTTGGTCCTATGACACCTTGAAGCCCTTTTCCCAGTAGGCCATTGATTCTTCCTATTTTCTTGTACTTGTGGGAAGAGGAGAGAGCTCAGCCTACTTCTTGCCTTTCTTTGACCTTTTTGGACTATTCTTCCTTGATTGCTCAGTAACCTTTAAGTCTACCCACAGTCATCACCTTCTTGTTTACCAATCCCAGGCACCCCACTCTTTCCTCCTGGTCTGTCTATTGTCCTTCTCTGCTCCCTAGTTCATTGATAATCTCATTTATCCCAGGCTTGGTGCACACAAGCCACTTCCTCCAAGAAGTCTTCTCTAGCCACACCCACCTGTTGGCATTTGTTCTCTTTCAAGGTTCCAGAGCATGTTGCTGCCAGGTTTTTCTGTGGAAGTCCTTTATAATGATTATTAGGCTTATCTCTCCACCCAGATTATATAGGTTGAATTCCCTTAGTCCCTCCCCCTCCCTTTTTTTTTTTTAAAGACCTGGCACCTGGTAGGTTTTCAGGAGATACCTATGCAGGGGATTGAAAAGCATGGGATTAGGAAACTGATTGTGGGGTCCCACCCCCCCTCCAGTTATGTGTGGAGGCAGAGAATTAGGTCTGTTGCTGGCCTCAGGCAAAAAGCAAGACTTACCAGAAAATAACTACAACTAGATGGGCTGGGAGTGTGGCTAAAGTGGCAGCGCACTTATCAAGTTCAAAGCCCTAAGTTCATCCCCCAATAAAGCCCTGGAGTTTAGAAGTCCAGTTGTTTCTAGTTTCAGTTTTGAGGTACATGGCTGGTTGCCTGCCTAGGATCATGGGCTTCTTCTTCCATTTTGGCACAGCCCTGATTTTTTTGAGATAAATAATGTCTATATGGGCCATGTTTCAATGGAAATGATCCTCATCCTAGTCCTAGGGTGGATAGTGGCTCAATCCAGTGGTCCTTCATTAAGGGCTATTTTATTCCTTTGGGGATACTTGGCAACGTCTGGGGACATTTTTGATTACCACAACGTGTTCGTAAGCTTTCTGTCACTATAACAAATACTTAGATGATCAACTTATACAGAGAAATGATTTATATTGGCTTAGGTTTTGACGTTTCAGTCCATGGTCAATTGATCATTGCTTATGTGCTGTGGGAGCAAACAATGGTGGGAGTGTGTGGTGGAGCAAACTGCTCACCTTACCTTATGACTGGGAAGTGAGAAAGTAGAGAAAAAGGGGTGGGGAAAGAGAAACTGAGAAAGAGAAAGGGGTGGGGTCCTAAATTCCCTACAAGGGCATGTTCCTAATGACCTAAAGTTCTTTCACTAGGCCCCACTTAAGGGTTTCACCACCTCCTAACAGTACCACATGCTGAGTACCAGTCTTACCACATGGGCCTTTGGAGTTTCAGATTCAAACTGTAACACACAATTAGTAGGTGGGATGCTACTGGTCTTTCTAGTGGGTGTAAGCCAGGGATGCTACTGAACATTCTATTATGTACAGTGTTGGAATTAATAACCTTCCAGTGCCAAAAACAGACACACAAGAGACAGAAAATCTTGACAAGGCAATTTCTCTTGATCAAGAGGGTGCAAGCATGTGCTAACTCTAGCTAAGGAAACACGCAAGCACAAAAGGGCTGACAGTGGCTCCTCCTTATATCCCTGATGGCAGTTGTACCTGCCCCTCACCTGGGATTTGTTCAGGTCAAAGGTTCACAACCTTTCCCAGTTGGCTAAAAGGCTTGGAGGATGGGTTAGGACATGCAGTTTGGTGGGCAATGGAGTTGAACAAGGAATCTGAAAGAAGATGCAAGGACGCTTTCAACATGTAATTCACCTAAAATGGTGACCTGAGGAATTTTTAAGTAATCTAGGAGGGTAACAAATACTTTGATAGAAAAGATAATTTGCTTACAACAGGACATGCCTTCTTCTAACTCCCCAACAAAGGACTATCTAGGCCAAATGTTAGCAGTGCTGAAGTTTGGAAACCTGAGGCAATAAATCGTAGTGATCCCATTCCTCAGCAAATAACTGGCACAATGAGAAAATGAAGTTGGTCTGATTGGTAACTGGGCTGTAGGGTGGGTGTCATGGTGAGACTGAGAGCTAAAACAAGACACAAGTAAAATGGATTTCACTATGGCTTACAAACAGAAAGACTGGACTAAACTGTGTTATGCAACACAAATGATCTAAGTTCAAATCATTTTAATAGCAGCTCATTCAGACTCATGTGATTCAAAATAAGACAATGAGTTAATCTCAGTAACTCCACATATATTCTATTCACGTGTTCCACAGATAAGAGCATTGGCTCCTTCATCCACTCTCCTAGTTTACATGCTCTGACCAATCCATGCCAAGACCATCTATGACTAACTTCAGCCCCAACCTCATGAGAAGCTTTCCATAACTGCCCCTTTTTGAAGAGACTTTTTTTTTTCCACAGCAAGTTCAATGAATCCAACTTTTTATTATTTTAAAGGGTGTGTTCCTGGCTATTTTTGGGCTTTCACACTGGGCATGGACTACAAATAACTTCAGTGAGCTGGGCTTATGGCTACAGACAGGGAATGTTCAAAGTGCCTTAGAAAGTAAGAGGAAAATATTCTGTTGGGGAATTTGGGGAAGGGATTTTCAGCATTGATACTGGAATTAGGTCTTGAATGAGAAAAATGGTTTTAGTCACGTGGAGGTGAAGGAAAATATATCACAAGGAAGAAGGAATAACATGGACAAGGGCAGGGAGTCACGGATTTAGAAAAGGCAAGCAATCATGAGCATCTGAAACAGGGAATTCAAGACTAAGAAAGACAATCCAGAGGCAAGAGGGGCCAGATCACCCAACACTCCACTTTGTTAAAATTGTCTCTGTTATAATAGCTACACCTGCTGTGTTCAATGACTGGAAGTAAAATGTTTCCAAGGCTTGAATTACAACCTGGGATCTCTGCAGTAGGGGATTTGTGGAACTCTCCTTCTAAGTTGGTTCTTTAATTCTGAATGAATGAGAACATTTATGTGGAATTCTAGTGCCATCTAGCACTAAAAAAGATCATGGCAAGTGCAATAAGAAAATTCTTAACTGCATTTTGAACATGTTTTTTTCCAGAGACCATTCCTCCTGCAGTATGAAACAGGACTTGGTTTTCTGGGAATCCCTCTCCCTGTCTTTTCCTCCCAATTCTGTCATCATTCAGTCCCTTCACCTATCAAATGCTTTCACAGGATCAAGTTCACTCCCTTTAAAGCAGTTACTGCATTTAAAAATTCACATTTATTACGGATACGGATTAATCTCTTCCATTAGCTTAATTTCCAGTATGGAGGGACCCTGTGATTTTTGCTGACCATCATCTCTCAGCACCTGGAAATATACTTGATTTGGCTATAATACTGTTGATAAATCGACACTTTTTTATTTTTATTTTTTTAAAATTTTTTTATTCATATGTGCATACAAGGCTTGTCATTTCTCCCCCCTGCCCCCACCCCCTCCCTTACCACCCACTCTGCCCCCTCCCTCTCCCCCCTACCCCCTCATTACCCAGCAGAAACTATTTTGCCCTTATTTCTAATTTTGTTGTAGAGAGAGTATAAGCCATAATAGGAAGGAACAAGGGTTTTTGCTGGTTGAGATAAGGACAGCTATACAGGGAGTTGACTCACATTGATTTCCTGTGCGTGTGTGTTACCTTCTAGGTTAATTCTTTTTGATCTCACCTTTTCTCTAGTTCCTGATCCCCTTTTCCTATTGGCCTCAGTTGCTTTTAAGGTATCTGCTTTAGTTTCTCTGCGTTAAGGGCAACATATGCTAGCTAATTTTTCAGGTGTCTTACCTATCCTCACCCCTCCCTTGTGTGCTCTTGCTTTTATCATGTGCTCAAAGTCCAATCCCCTTGTTGTGTTTGCCCTTGATCTAATGTCCACATATGAGGGAGAACATACGATTTTTGGTCTTTTGGGCCAGGCTAACCTCACTCAGAATGATGTTCTCCAATTCCATCCATTTACCAGCGAATGATAACATTTCGTTCTTCTTCATGGGCTGCATAAAATTCCATTGTGTATAGATACCACATTTTCTTAATCCATTCGTCAGTAGTGGGGCATCTTGGCTGTTTCCATAACTTGGCTGTTGTGAATAGTGCCGCAATAAACATGGGTGTGCAGGTGCCTCTGGAGTAACCTGTCCACACTTGTTAAACTTTGTTATTAGTGACGATTTCTGTTTATACCCTGCCTTTACTTATGGGTAACCTTCTTCAAAACTTAATCAAATGCCTGTTGTAACCTTTAAAGATATAGTAATCAACATCTAATCGTAACTAAAGGGAATTATTTTGCCTATTTCCCCCTTATTCTTATTGGTTCAGAAAAGATAATTTTCGGTAGTGGGGGGGTGGGAGTGGCGGGGGTACGTGTACTGCGGTCCAAGAGCATGCAAGCGTTACTTTCATTCTGCATGAAAAAATCTAGACCATTGTCATTTAATAAACAGCGCCATCCTATCTAAGGGCAAAACCGGCCACCATCGCAGTCCAGCACGGTCGATGTGCACATTGATTATTGCTGTGGCCTCATCGTTGCAAATAAAGCGCCGCAAACGCGGTGAGCATTAGGACCGTCGCTAGGCCATCTGCGTTCCAGTCCCAAGGGACAATGGCCAGCCCGGGCCTCCGCAGACCTTTGCGTTACCTCTGGACCTCCAGGTGGCGCCGCGCACCGCGGGCTTAAATTCCCCTGTAAGAGCTAAAGGTAAAGCTCTCCAGACCGCCACCGGAAGGGGCGGGGCAGACAGTGATTGGCCAATGGGCTCTGTGTCATTTCCGCGCGCCGTGGGATGGGACGGGACGGGGCGGGGCGCTCCTAGACCCCAATCCTGCGCTGCTAAGAGCGGGTACGATTAATTAGCAGGGTGGCGTGGCGGTGCAATGAGCGAGGCTGACGGGCTGCGGCAGCGCCGGCCACTGCGGCCGCAAGTTGTCACGGACGATGGCCAGGCTCCTGAGGCCAAGGACGGCAGGTAGGCGGGACCTTCAGACCCGGTCGCTGGAGCCTAGGGCGGGGTGCGGGGGCGACCCTCCTTGTGAACCGCAACTTGCATTAACAGCGACAGGGTGAATAAACGTGATGACAAGCGCGTTGCAAAAGCCCGCTTGTTTAATCCTCACGCAGGACTCGTTTTAAAGAGAAGGAAACAGGTCCGATAAATCGGATGCACCTGCCAGGTCATTCAGGCTTCGAGTACACCCTTGTGGGCGCCCAACCAGCGACGCTTTTCCTGGCTCTCCTGGTCCTCATGCTGCATCTGTCCTTTCTTGCCCCTAACTCCTGCCCCTCCTCCAGAACCGGAGCTTCTTCGTCTTTCCTTCTGTGCACTCAACTCTCCGCTCTGCCCCTGCTGGCTCACCCGATACTTGGGATCAGCCACCTGTCCACCGCCCTTCGTCTTTCGTGTTTCTTCACGCTTTTCTGATTGAAGGTCCAAAAAAGATACTGGGCTCCTATCGCGATCCAGCGAAGAGCTGCCTTCTACACCTGCTCTTTTGCTCCTGTCACTCTCACGCTGAGTGCAGTTCTCATCGCTGTTTTCTGAGAGTAGAGACCAGAAGGGACATTGTAGGCAACATTGTTATTATTTTTGGGTGCTGGTGATGGAACCCAGGGCCGTGCACCTTAGAAGGCAAGCGCTCGACAGCTGGGCTACATCCTCAGCTCTTTTATGTATCTTTTTTTTTGAGACAGGGTCTCTCTATGTAGCCCAGGCTGGTCTTGAACGCTCATCGTCCTGCCTCCGCATCCCTAGAGCTGGGGAAGTGCTTCGAGCTGGCACTCCCAGCTTGAAGGCAATTTTTTATGAGAATCAGTTTTGCAGGTTTTTATGTAGAGATGGAGAAGCAAAGGAAATTGTAGTTGTTGATGCCTAATAAATCTTAGGCTTTTGGGTATTGCTTCCTTTCCCAGTCTTCCAGAATTTACCTATGCCATGTTTTGTTAGCTAAAAACTGAACCGTGATCCTTAAAATTCACTTTTCAGTTTTGTGTCTTGAATTTTATAATTTTGAATTTCTAGGGAGAACCCAAGAAATTTGGAATTTGGATTTTGGCCCCACAGACCAAATCCAAAACCGTGGAATTATTAACTTATATGTTGGTAGAAATATTAGAAGTACTTATTGATCAACAGTGTGCTGAGGAGTGTGGGACCTACTGAATGAGGCAGTTTTTGCCCAAGATACATCAAATTTATTCACTGATGATTATAAGAATACATTTGAAGGAGAATGATAGCAGAAAGGAGTGTTTTGATTCTAGAAAGGCAATTCGGAGAGAAGATTATTTGGTTGTAATTGAGTTCCTGGGTCTGTGGAAGAATGAGGAAGTTGCAGCCATATACCCAGACAGTGGGGTGACCAGCCATCCTGGGTTGCCAGGAATTCACATTTCCAAGCACTACTTGCTAAACCTGGGACAAGTTGGTCATCTTACTTATTGTGGCTATTGTGAATTAATTATCTGCTGATGACTGATGAGTCCCATAGAATTCATATGCAAAGGCTAGCCATGGTTTACTACAGAAACTATGAAAATAAGGCACTTTGACATGAGGAATGAAAGCAGCCAAGGTGCTGCTCAGGTGTTGGATAAGCTGTTTTTCTTTTCTTTTTTTGCGGTACTGGAGCTTGAACTTAGTGCCTCACACTTGCCAGGCAGGCAGTCAACCACTTGAACCATTGCCAGCCCTTGGGTGCTGTATAAAGTGCAGTGAGCATACAGTACCTGAGGGTACTTGTCAGATGGGTCCAATTTTCTGGATAGCTGCTGTGACACTCCTGGCCTCAGGGCAGAGGGCAGACTTAATTAAATTTTTTTTCATCTTATTTCGTCATATTAAATAAATGTCTAACATCTTTCACCTGATCTTGTGGCTTTTATATTGTGTTTTTTTTTTTTTTTTAATTTTTTTCTTTATTTTGTGTAATGCATACAAATCTTACAATTTCAAATTATCAACTTGAATAGTCAACCATTATAAATGTTTCTTTTTTTTTTGTTCATTTTTATTTTATTATTCATATGTGCATACAAGGCTTGGTTATTTCTCCCCTGCCCCCCACCCCTCCTTACACACTCCCACCCCCCGTCCCCCTCAATACAGCAAATAACTATTTGCCCCTTATCTCTATTTTGTTGTGGAGCAGTATAAGCATAAATAGGAAGACAAGGTTTGCTGGTTAGATCAGGGAAGCTATACAGGGCTGACTCACATTGATTCCTGTGCGTGGTTTACCTGCTAGGTTAAATTCTTTAATTACCTTTTCTCTAGTTTCCGGTCCCTTTTCCTATTGGCCTCAGTTGCTTTTAAGGTATCTGCTTTAGTTTTCTCTGCGTAAGGGCACACAAATGCTAGCTAGTTTTTAGGTGTCTTAACTATCCTCCCCCTCCTTGTGTGCTCTCGCTTTTATCATGTGCTCAGTATCAATCCCCTTGTTGTGTTTGCCCTTGATTAATGTCATATGAGGGAGAACATACGATTTTTTGGTCTTTTGAGCCAGGCTAACCTCACTCAGAAATGATGTCTCCAATTCCATCCATTTACCAGCGAATGTAACATTTCGTTCTTCTTCATGGCTGCATAAATTCCATTGTGTATAGATACCACATTTTCTTAATCATGTCAGTGTGGGGCATCTTGGCTGTTTCCATAACTTGGCTATTGTGAATAGTGCCGCAATAACATGGTGTGCAGGTGCCTCTGGAGTAACAGTCTTTTGGGTATTCCCAGAGTGGATTGCTGGATAATGGTAGAATCGATGTCAGCTTTTAAGTAGCTCCAAATTTTTTTCCAGAGTGGTTGTACTAGTTACATTCCACCAACAGTGTAAAGGGTTCCTTTTTCCCCATCCTCGCAACACCTGTTTTGGTGGTGTTGCTGATGATGGCTATTCTAACAGGGGTGAGGTGGAATCTTAGTGTGGTTTTTAATTTGCATTTCCTTATTGCTAGAGATGGTGAGCATTTTTTCATGTGGTTTTCTGGCCATTGAATTTCTTTTGAGAAAGTTCTGTTTAGTTCACTGCCATTTCATTATTGTTCATTAGTTTTGGGAGAATTTAGTTTTTTAAGTTCCTGTATATTCTGGTTATCAGTCCTTTGTCTGATGTATATTGGAAAAATTATTTTCTCCCACTCTGTGGGTGTTCTCTTCAGTTTAGAGACCATTTCTTTGATGAACAGCAGCTTTTTAGTTTTAGGAGGTCCCATTTATCTATGCTATTCTTAGTTGCTGTGCTGCTGGTTTCATTGAGACAGTTCTTACTATACCTACTAACTCCAGAGTATTTCTACTCTTTCTGTATCAAATTAGAGTTTGTGGTCTGATATTAAGATCCTTGATCCATTTTGAGTTAATCTGGTTTTTATAGGGTGATATACATGGATCTAGTTTCAGTTTTTTTGCAGACTGCTAACCAGTTTTCCCAGCAGTTTTTGAAGAGGCTGCTATTTTCCATCGTATATTTTTTAGCTCCTTGTCAAAGATAAGTTGCTATAGTTGTGTGGCTTCATATCTGGATCTCTATTCTGTTCCACTGGTCTTCATGTCTGTTTTTGTGCCAGTAACCATGCTGTTTTATTATTGCTTTGTAATATAGTTTTAAGTCAGATTTTACCTCCTGCATTGTTCTTTGACTGAGTTTGCCTTGGCTATTCGTGGCCTCTTGTGTTTTCCATATAAATTTCACAGTAGATTTTTCATTCTTTAATGAATGTCATTGGAATTTGATGGGAATTGCATTAAACATGTAGATTATTTGGGAGTATCGACATTTTTACTATGTTGATCTACCAATCCAGAGCATGGGAGATCTCTCCACTTTCTATAGTCTTCCTCAATCTCTTTTTCAGAAGTGTATAGTTTTCCTTGTAGAGGTCTTTCAATCTTTTGTTAGGTTTACACCTAGGTATTTGATTTTTTTTTGAGGCTATTGTAAATGGAATTGTTTTTCACATTCTTTTTTCCTTTGCCTCATTGTTAGTGTATAGAAATGCTAATGATTTTTCTATGTTGATTTTATATCCTGCTACTTGCTATAGCTATTGATGATGTCTAGAAGCTTCTGAGTAGAGTTTTTTGGGTCTTTAAGGTATAGATCATGTCGTCTGCAAATAGGGATATTTTGACAGTTTTCTTTACCTATTTGTATTCCTTTTATTCCTCTCTTGCTAATTGCTCTGGCTAGGAATTCCAGTACTATGTTGAATAGAGTGGAGATAGTGGGCATCCTTGTCTGGTTCCTGATTTTAGAGGGAATGGTTTTAATTTTCTCGTTAAGTATAATGCTGGCTGTAGGTTTGTCATATATAGCTTTTTATAATGTTGAGGAACTTTCCTTCTATTCCTAGTTTTCTTAAGCTTTTATCATGAAATGATGTGGATCTTATCAAAGCTTTTTCTGCATTCTATTGAGATGATCAAGTGGTTTTTGTCTTTGCTTTCTGTTAATGTGGTATTAGTTTATTGATTTTCGTATGTTGAACACCCTGCATCCCTGGGATGAAGCCTACTCTGGTCGTGGTGACATAATCTTTTTGATGTGTTGCTGAATTCGTTTTGCCATTATTTTGTTGAGGATTTTTGCATCAATGTTCATTAAGGAGATTGGCCTATAGTTCTCCTTTTGGACGGTGTCTTTGCCTGTTTTGGATAGTGTAATACTGGCTCTCATAAAATGGGTTTTGGCACGTTTTCCTTCCCTTTTCTATTTCATGAACAGTTTAGGAGGTTGGTATCAGTTCTCTAAAGTGTCTGATAGAAATTCAGCAGAGATCCATAGGTCCTGACTTATCTTTTTGGGAGAACTTCTGATTGCTGCTTCAATTTTCATTTTGTGTTATGAGGTCCTATTCAGGTGAGTAAATTTCCTCTTGGTTCAGTTTTGGATGAATCAATGCATCTAGAAGAAAATCTGTCATTTCTTTTAAGATTTCAAATTTATTTGAATATAGTTCGCAAAAGTAGGT